AGCCGTCCGGCTGGGAGCTGGCGGCAGACGCCGTCCCCGAGGACTCGCTGTGGCCGCTGCCGCAGTGGGTCCGCACGTATCCTCGCCAGCTGCAACTAGCGCCCAGCCGCTTCCAGCTGGTGCATGGCGCCGGCTCCTCGGCAGGACCGAGCTGCGGGCTGCTGCAGGACGCCTTCCGCAGGTGAGCGGCGGCGGGGCCGGGGTGCTGCAACGGCGGCCCGGGAACGGGAGCAGCTGCCTCAGGGCCCCGCCGGCGCCTCTGCTTCCCCGGCAGGTACTATGAGTACATATTCGGGCATTCCCGGCGGCGGACGTGGGGCCGCAGGCCGCTGGCTGCCCGAGCGGAGCCCGAGCTGTTCCAGCTGCAGGTGGTGATCGAGGCGGGGGACCCTGGCTGTGACAGGCACCCGCAGCTCGCCTCCAGCGAGGCCTGTGAGTACCCGCTCGCCGCTCACCGCGCCCCTCCTTCCCCGGCTTCGGCAGCACCGTTACGCGCTTGCTTTCCTATCACGTGTCCGCTGTGGAAGTCAGCAGGTTTGGGGGTGGTTTTTTTAAGGAACTGGAAAGCAAAGGCTCTCGGAAGCCCGCAAAAACATTTCACAACAGTGGCCACCAGAAGATAATTCTTGCTCTTGATACTGTGGGCAATCTCAGCCCATAGTGAATGGTGAAGCTCGCCTGTGATTTTTGCATTTCAGCTATCGTACAGATCACTTAACTGCTACTATTTTTTTCTAGCAGCTGTCATTAGGAATCAGAGATACTACAGTATGCAGTAGCCGGTTATCTTTGGTGAGATTTGTGCCTAGTCAGGAGATGATCCCTTTCAGTACAGGGTATTTATTGAGAGAAGGCTGTCACTGCTTACCATCTCCTAAGAAGTGACTGCATTTAAATTGAAGTTACTTACACTGAGATATGTACATGGTATTTCCTGTTTTTCCAGGAAAACCAGAAAGTGTTTGTTGAACTTGCAGTCCTATAAATCCACTTCCTTTCTATGTGTAGATACAAGAAAGGACTTAAAACACGATGTTTATATTGGACTTATTTTTCTGTGCTTCTTTAGTTCTGTGACTAAAGTCCAGAGTGGAGAAGTACTCTAAGTATTAAAGTACTGATCGCCAGACAATTTCCTTAACAGAAATAAGATTGAGCAGTAATATTGCTTTTTGTCTGGACAGGCTAACACAAAAGTCAACATATTCAGTTAAACATATTCAGTTAATCTAGACCTGTTTTAAGATAATCTTCTGTTGTTTGGTATCCAGGATACAGATCCTTAGAAAAAAGATCCTTTTAATCTCAAGTCATACATCCTGCAGCAGGATTAATTCCACCTGAGTTGTGAAAGAATGTACTGATATTAAATTTACTCAATCCTTTTGGAACATATAGCCAAAGACTTTGGTTTTTATGTGCAAACTTATAATATCTTTCAATGCAAATTAAACATAGGAGCAAAAATGCTAATGCTCTTGACCTTGTTCTGCCACTCAGGTTATTGTGCTGCTTTATTATTATTTGAACTTTGAGCTTGTTTGTGAACTTAAGATTTTAATCAAAGCTGGGTCTTGTGATGGAATCTGTCAGACCATGTGATTTTCAGGTTGCATTCTTTAGAACAAGCAGTTTTTTTCCTAGTGGTTTAAGAAATAAGTTTGCTGTTACAAATAACGTGTTTTCTTCATATAATAAGCTGAGCATTCCAGGCTTCAGTAAGTTTTAATTTCCTGGTTTTTAATGGGCTATCTTTTTGAGGATACAGATTCTGAAAAATGCTGGTTTTGGTGACTTGGTGGTCTGGCTTATCAATAAAGATAGTATGGACCAGTTAGTCACTGTCCTGTGGCAAGAGTATTGGATATGCAATCAGAGTACAGGTTATCTCCCCTCCTGCCTGCTTACCTGTTTGTGCAAAATGTTTCAAGTATTATAACACTTTCCAAGTTCCTCTAAGGTATAATACTTTTTCAGGGAAAAAAAAGAAAACCCAAACAAACCTGCTGTGTTGGAAATAAATCCTTGACAATTTATTTATTTTATTTAGGGTAAACAAACATTTTCCCTACAGTTTACTTGTGGAGATTGCAGTAGTCTTCTAAATTTTCTTTCTTACCCCGAACATCCAGTACGTGTAATCAGTTCTTAGGTTAATATGGACGCTTGAGGTACTTTCTTCATGTCACTAAATGGCTTTTCTCTGGTAGTTTAGATAAATGTTTGAACTGTGTAAATTGTAGCCAACCATTCTTTCATACTGGCACAGATTATGTAAATCATTTTACAGTAATTCAACCTCTTGATTTTTTTCTCTGCTCTTTCAGATGTGCAATTATTGCTTTGATTTTGAATAATAATATAAATCTATAGATGTAGTATATTTTTATGCATATATATGTATGTGATTTTAAAAAATACTTAACATATGTTTGTTTCTTCTCAAAAAACTACTAAATCGCCTCAAAATTTGAAACCAAAATTATTTTAGCTTTCTTTTTTCGTTAGTACTTTGTACTGTACTGCAGTACTCAACTTCAGGGAAGATTCTTATGGATTCCTTCAAGTACCATTCTTCATTTTATTTACTGTGCTTCATCTTACTGTCTCAATACCGGTGCTCAGGTCGAGACAGTGACCTGGCACCCTTTAGGTGCATCAGGGACAGCATGGCCAGCCAGGCAAGGGAGGGGATTGTCCTGCTGTGCTCTGCACTGGGGCAGCCTCACCTCGAGTGCTGGGGGCAGCTCTGGGTGCCACAGTATAAGAGAGATGCAGAACTATGGGGGAGTGTCCAAAGGAGGGCCACAAACATGGTGAGGGGGCTTGAGAGTAATCCTTCCTTGTATGAAGAACAGCTGAGGTCACTTGTTCTGTTCAGCCTGGAGGAGACTCAGAGGAAACCTCATTGTGGTCTTCACAAGGGGAGGTTGAAGGGCAGGTCCTGATCTCTTCATTCTCATAACCAGTGACAGGACTTGAGGTAACAGCAGAAAGCTGAGTCAAGGGAGGTTTAGGCTGGATATCAGGGAAAAGGTTCTTCACCTAGGCTGTGGCTGAGCAATGGAACAGGCTCCCCAGGGAAGTGATCACAGCACCAGCCTGACAGATTTCAAGAGCATTTGAACAATGCTTTCAGGCACATGCTGTGATTCTTGGGGGTGTCCTGTGCACGGCCAGAAGTTGGACTCAATGATCTTGATGCATCCCTTCCAACTCAGCGCACTCTGTGATTCTGTATTTTGATTAGTAATTTTTTTTAATAAGACCTTAATAGTAAGCACCTGGCAATATTATATGACAACTTTTATCTTTAAAAAATATGAAATCATTAACTATATGAAAGGAGGTAAAAGGAGAAGTAAACTTTTCATAATCATGAAAAGTTTGGCTTAAGCACCCAGCCTTTATCACGCATGTCTTAAATGCAGAAATATAGTATGTTACGTTTTAAGTCAGTTGGGTTAAACTTTGCTGGAATTCTGGCTCATGTACAATATTTTAGCATTGCTTTTACTAAGCACCTTACTTCTTTTTTCTTCTTTCTAATGAGCTGTTGACTCTCTGAACAGTGCATCAGTTTGATTCACAGGAAAACAGAGATGAAAAATAATTGCATGCTATCACCATTAAAAGCAGGATTGATTGGAATTTAATACACAAAGGGAGATGTTGCACTTGAAGAATCTTTTTAATGCCTTTTGGCATTGTCCTTGCAATTCATTCTTTTTTAAAGAGTAAGCTTTTTTTTTCTTTTCTTTAGATCATTTAACTGTAACTGAACCTGTGGCTATACTGAAAGCTCCTGAGGTATGGGGTGCTTTAAGAGGTAAGCTGATGCTTTTCACATTGAGCTATTTGTTTAGGGTTTATACAAACTTCATGGCAGACCAAGAACCAGCTGATCACTGGGCCTTGCCCTCACCTCATTCATTACTTCATTGGAAGTAATGAATGAGGGCCAGAAGGATACTCAGATGTTTATCAGTTAGACCCTAGGTCCAGATGCTCAGCATCTCAGATCCAGTGGCACACTGCAAGTACATGCTTGCTGTACCTGAAATAAGTCAGACCAACAAAAAGCTTTTTAAACTATAGTGTGAACAGATTATTTTCTGACTACACCTATAAAGTGGAGATGCTGAATGCATTACAATCACAAAGAATAACAATCCTGACATTTTAGTCTGCTGTTTTTATTGGAATGTTAAGTCTATATATTAGTTACCTATTAATCAACAGATTTTTCATGCTGAATTAGAAATTTCACCAATTCCAGAAATTACAGGAATAGATGTACAACAGGACCAGAGATTCCCACCTTACTCTCAGTAACTTTCTTACTATTTAGGGATTAATCTGCTGCAGCTGAGCAGTAGCACAGGTATTCAGTATCTGCATAATAGAGAATTTGAATGGTTCTCTCCAGAATTTTTAAATGGTGATGCTTGAGCAATTAAGGGAACTGTGCTAAAGAGAAAGAAACTCAACTACAAAGCATTCTTTCTAGCTAGATGAATGCCTGTACATAGTTGTGCTGTTTGTAACTAAAATTTTAAGGGCAAGTACTGGGCTGTAATTGCGATCCCTTTCTTGGGTATTTTGCCAGGTTTGGAAACCTTCAGCCAGTTGGTTCATGAAGATGACTATGGAAGTGTAAGTATGGCTATTAACTAAATCCACTGTCCTGGTAACTGGGTGCTTCTCTAGACTGAGCAGATCAGTTTCATTCAGCAACATTTCAGTTTGTTACATATTTCCAAGAATCATTTTCTGAAAAAGAAAAAGCACTTCCTGTTTGAAATGAATATGAAATTAATATAAAATTCTAATTTTTAAATTTTGTTCTCATAGTTTCTTGTCAATGAATCTGAAATCAATGACTTCCCAAGATTTGCTCATAGAGGAGTCCTATTAGATACTTCAAGGCATTATTTACCATTGAAATCTATTCTTACAAACCTGGTAAGTAGGCAGTTTTATATCATTAATAATAAAGGCTTTTTGTTGTGTTTTGGCTCCTGAAGGAGGTAGCAACTGGAGATGGTATGAAAGAAGAACCTATCTCTTCTGTCTGACTGCAAAAGGACAGAGTGCACTTTGCTAAGCAAAGGTCTGAACATAGACTGGAGAGGAGTCAAGTGGGCAGACACAGTGATTATTGACTCTCTGATGGGGACTGGTATTCGTGGTACCTTAGAGTCTCTGTATTTTCTGATGCCTAAACCAGCTTATGTACAATATCTTGGAAGCATGTTTTAAGATGTCTGACTGTCATCAAGCAATACAAGGGACACCTTGCTTCAGTGCCAGTGATTTCAGGAGAACTCCAGTCTTTTGGAGCAGACTTTAGTAGTCCAGCAGCAGGCTTAGGTAATCCTTTCTTAGGCTGCTAAGTGCAAGCCAGTAATTAAGTATTACAGAGCAAGGGAGGAAATTTGAAATGTTCATGGGAAGCTACTGAATAATAAGCCAAGACTAACCAATAAAACCAAACTAAACTTCTTCCAAAAAGCGTAAGCAAGCGCATTAAGAATTAATGTACTCCAGCCCTGATGGAAAGGTGATGTATTTGTATAAGCTTAGCAGCCAAAGATGGGGTTTTTACTGTTTTGCACTCCTCCTTTTTTTTGGTTGAAGTCCTTGTAGGAGGGATTATTTAGTTGATTGAAGTGAAGGAACAGGTGGTTTCCCGTCTTGTCTCTGTCTTGCTTCTCCAAGATGAAATAATGCTTGAAATTTCCCCTCCATGTTGCAGAACTTTGAAAATAGGTATAGGATAGGCAGAAAGAGTGCAGATAAAAACAGTCTTTAATTTCTGAGGTCATTCTCGAGCTATGCTCAGAACTTGTCCTTTAGGTATTTACCACCTTGTTTTCACATTCAAGGTCAACGCCTGTTCAGCAAGTAATGCTTGAGTAATGTTACATTTGCGACAGAGGGTGCTTCAAAGCCTCAAATATTTGTGTCAATATTTTTTGTCTTGTCTAAAAGAGATGTCCAAAGAGACTTGCATTTCTAACTATTTTTGTGTTTCTGTAACTGCTGCTGTTCTGCTTCCTTTCCTTAAATTGCATTGTCTCTTATACATTATTAGACCTATGTTTCATGATGTTTGCTGGTTTAAGAGATATGCTTTTCTTCCCAGCTCTGTGCCTGCTTGAATCTCAATTAATAAAAAGCATCAGTAACATCTTCTCTGACATGTGGTGATTAGATACTTAGGGCAGCAGTTCAAGTTGATTTCTTGTTTGTGTTCAACTACTGCACTGTATTTCTAGAAACAGCATTGTTCTTGAGAAAGGGCTCGGTGAATTGAAGGTCCAGAGATGTAATTTTTTATGTTGAAGGATGGTCTTGGTTAGAAATGCATGAAGACATGGCAATTAAAACTTCTGCAGTGTAATGAAACAGATGAAATCAATCTAGGGAATAGACAAGATATAAATCTTCCTTTGTATTTGGTGGGAGTTCCTGAAGAGATTTTATCACCTCCTTAAATACACCTAGGTGAAAAAATGAGAGGAATGGGTGGGGAAAACAACTGTAGTGTAGCAAGGGCTTGGGAGCAGCTGTGTTGCTGCCAGTCATGAACGATGTAAATACTTATTTGGTCTGCTCACAGCACACCCTGCGAGTGACTAGCAAGCCAGCATAACTCAAGGTATGTGTGTGACGGTCCAGTTGGAGTCTTAATTCTAAAATAAGTGTGTAAACATTCATCTTGATCATCTTCAAGATGAAAAAAAGGAAGTACTGACACTGTTATGAAGGAAAACATAAAAGAAGCACTGTCTTTTGCAGGGAAAACGCTTAGTTTATTTTGCATGCATTTGAAAAGGATTCTGCAGAAGTCACTAGTGAGAAGGGATGTATGATGTAGTAGGAAACTCTCATGCTGTTCTGTTTTCAAATCCATGGTATTTAGTTATAAATGTATAAGCTTTTCTGTAAGCTGAAATAGTTGATGGTGCATAGAAAATAACCCACAGAACCATCTGTGTTGGAAGGGACCCAGAAGGATCATCAAGTCCAACTTTTAAATGAATGATCCATGAGAGTCAAATCTGTGACCTTGGTGTAGCAGAGTGCTGTAAACACTGAGCTAATCCCAGGGTACATGTTCTGAAGTGGAAAAAATTCTTAAGTGTTCATGGCAGTTCACACTACACAGGCTGGTAGAATGAGGGTCAAATGAAGAGTTTGTTGACAGCAGTGGTGAAAATAGATTGCAGAGGGGTGGAGCAGTAGAGGTATGTGATACTAAATGAAACATAGAATACTTTTTTGGTTTGTTGGTGGGGGGATTGGTGAGTTTTGGTTGGTTTTTTGAGTGGTTTGGTTTGGTTGAGGTTTTTTTCTTTCTTAGTTGTTGCTCTAGGCATATGGGATATGCTGGGACAAGACCACTTTTTTGCATAGATTTTCTATGAGAATGAGGTGTTTAACCAGTCTCTATTGTGTTATTTCTTACAGGATGCCATGGCTTTTAATAAGTTCAATGTTCTCCACTGGCATATAGTAGATGATCAGTCCTTCCCTTACCAGAGCATTTATTTCCCTGAATTAAGTGATAAGGTGAGTGAACATCATTGGAGCAGTGTAGAAGAGCAGAAATCTGGCACATATTTAGTGTAAATAACATGAAGAGTTAACCAATGCTTGGGTGCATCTGCTTTGGCTGACTGTGAAACAGTACCATGGCACCAGTAACCAGCAAGTCCATATTTAGGATCCTGCCTGAGTTTCTATGTGGACCATTTTTAAGTCTTCTTTTGGATACAGGGTAAATGACCACCTTTACTCTTCTGTGCAAATTTTCTGAATGATCCTCAGTGTTTGCAGGCCTTCAAACTCTAATGATAAGTAGTGAATAAGTAGTGAACACTAATAAGCAAATAAGTAGTGAACACTGCGTGGATTTCTGTTGATGGATTTCTTTAAATTGGTTGACTTCTGCCACTCAAACAAATGTGAGATGTTTTCCTGCCAGCTCTTAGCACCACTGCAATAGTAATATTATCCTTACAAAACACATCATGTCTGTAAGAGATCCAAAAGTGCAAGGTTGTTTCCTGAAGTGAATACAGTGGAATGTGTCTCTTTATTTCTAGACTTGTAGTAAGCTTTGTTACATTTCTGAGAGCCACCATGAGGTTCTTGCTCAGTCACGGTACAATAGGAGCCAAATCAAATGTAGTTAAGAATAGTTAAGTAGACTAAGCCTAAGTACAAGATTTGTGATTCTGTTTTAAAATGCCTGCTAGAATCTGACTCTCATGAAAATTATGTTGGCAGTGCTAGAGTAGATGCTGTGAAGAATTTTATAATTCAAAAATTGTAGATGTTGCATAGTGCAGTCAGATTATTTTTTGTGGTAAAAGCAAACTCTAGTAGAGTTCTGTCATATATCGCACTGACAGTAGAGAGAGGGCGATGGTCTTTGTCTCAACAAGCTTCTCTTTGAAAGGCTTATTGTCTACTGTTTCCTTTTTTGAGTAACTCGGCTGTGGAAACCATTTTCAGATAAGCAAAAGCTTAAGGTGCTATTAATCATGAAGAGCATCTTTGGGAAGTATCTGTTTCACCAAAATGTAGTAATCTGGGTCATTGTCACATTTGTTGGCTGTGTGGGTGTGCAATTACACTCAAATTTAGTGTCACGAAAGAAACACAACCTGATGCTAAATTAGTCACACACAAAACCGAGAAGCAGAGGTGCTGGGAGTTCTTTCTGACTTGGCAGAATTTTTCCATTAGTCTTGTATGTTATGTAGTGAGGGCCCTATATTTCAGAGTTAATGGGCAAAAATAACTTGCCTCTGTACAGAAGAATTGAGAACCATATGTTTCAAAATTCTGAAGGAAAAGAAACTAGCTATTCTGTGTTCTTCAGTAACTGCAAGCTAAGGAGGAAAGGAAGGTCTCCTTAAGGCAATCTGTCTTAGTGTTTTGAGTTTGTTGTTTTGGTGGGGTTTTTTCCTCTCCACAAGTTAAGTGAAAAGTTATGTCTGTGCAGTTGATAAACCACGGCCGACTTGTAAAACTGCTCTCCAGTCTCAGTTAAAATACTTCCGTCCAAATTTTGTGGTCTGCTGGTATAGTGTGTTGTCTCAAAATTTGAATATTTTACAGGGGGCATACTCCTCTAATCTCATCTATACTCCTACTGATGTCCGTCTGGTGATTGAGTATGCCCGGTTAAGAGGCATCAGAGTTATCCCGGAGTTTGATACACCAGGACACACACAGTCTTGGGGAAAAGGTATGCCCAAGAAAGTATTAATTGTTAAGAAACTGTGGTAAGTAGTAGCAAAAAATTTAATTTTTTAAGGCCTAACCAATAAAGTGCTTTGGAAGGTCCTTGATAAGAGAGAGGTAAGGAAGAGGCATTAAGTGATGTCATGACCTTTACAGGTTACAGGAAATAAAATGAATGAAGAAACATGTTCTATGCTAGATGTGTGTGCAAGGGTACAGATTCTGCTTCAGACATCATTCTACCTTGAGCTATGTACCTCACACTGACTTAGGTGTTAAAAACCGAGAGTAATAAAAAGAGAAGAGAAGCCTCTGAAGCATATTCATTATGTTTGGCTTTCTTCTAACTGGCTTTCTTCTGATGTTTATTAAAGCTTTTTCTTTTGTTGAAGTAGTTATCCAAATGCTGTTTTCCAGGTATTGTGACGTGTTACGTATGTTAGGTTGTGTTAAATCATAGATGTGAAAGTCAGAATCCTGACTGCCAGTTAGAGGGTTTTTCAACCTTTTACAAGTTGTTTTATTTCATCCTGCCTCTATATGGTTATATTTAAAATAGGTGAGCATTTAGGTAATGAATATTTACCTTTTTAATGTGACTAACTGCTTCTCCCTGCTAGCAAAGTTAGCATAGCAATATGAAACTGAGTATCATCTATTAATTGTTTTTATTAGGTCAAAAAGATCTTCTCACTCCTTGTTACAATGGAGGACAGCCAACTGGGTCCTTTGGACCTGTAAATCCTGTTTGGAATACAACTTACGACTTCATGACTAAGTTCTTTAAGGAGATCAGCAGTGTATTTCCAGATGAATTCATTCATTTGGGAGGAGATGAAGTGGACTTCAGTTGTTGGTATGGTGACAATTCAAGGAACAAATACCTAGTGCCTCCTAAACCTGTCCACCTGCAACTCAGTTGCATAAGATAGTTTTCACAGCATAACCAAAAGATCTTCACTCCTACCTCTGTAACAATTTACAAGCAGATCGTTTGTGATCCTCAAAAAGCAACTGATGTGCAGAATTTTGCTTTGACTTGTAGTTCCATAAATATTCAGGTATTCTAAAGGATTTAGAATACTAGTCCTCCTACCCTGGCGGGACAGAGGACTAGTATGTTAGAAAAATATTAGATAAGACAATTATCATTTAAATTGTTTGTGTTAAAGTAGGTGTTTATATTGAGTTCTGCCCACCAGAAAATCAGGTAACAGTAAGAATTACCAAACAGATTCATACGTGTTTGTATTAGAAGTACAGCATGTATTAATGGTGTTCTTAATTCAGTTGTGGATGTTGAATATTTTGGAGTCTTTCTTATGGAGAGACTAACTAATAATAACAGATTTGGAGCATTTTGATGAGTCTTCAAATTGATCTAGTTAGTATTGCTACATTATCTTTAAAGATCAAATCCAAACACTCAGGACATTATTTAATTTTTATAGAGAAGAAAAACTGGCAAATGCTGTAGCACAGAAATGTTGGTTTGCTTTTTGTGGTAGAAACACAAAATTGTTGAGTTCTCAGACTGCTGATAACGTTGGCACAAAGTAGCTGAGATGGTAGGAACCCCAAAGCTCTTAGGAGGCAGCCTGCCACAGACTGCTTCAGAACAGAGACTCCACCAGATTTACCTGAGATTAGGTCTGTTGGCTTTATTTCAAATCTGGATGAAACTCTTTCAAAATATCTAAGTCACGTTAACCTGCTGCTTCTGCTCTGCAATGTGTTCCAGGCTGCGGCATGCTAAGGCACCAGTTAGTGTGCTGTGTATAGGTAGAAATGATTGGGAAATCTGATTTAAGACATAAAAAAATAATCTTTTTTTAAACATGTTTTCTTGTTATTATTTAAGGAAATCTAACCCTGAGGTGAAAGAGTTCATGAAGAAGCAAGGTTTTGGCATTGACTATGCTAAACTGGAATCTTACTATGTTCAGAAGTATGTTGACTTTTTAATTCTTGCTTCAGTTTTTCACAGCCATTATTAGAGGGTGGCTTTGGGGTGCAGATATGGAAGCTGACTTACTATCTATCATATTATTTTGAAAAATTGCCACATATTTGGAACTATCTACTTTATTTTAAAATACCAGGTCTGAAGTTCATGGCTTTAAAATGTTGGACACAGCGTGGATATGTAAACCAGTTTTACATACACTGTGAATGTATTGGGTGCCTTAAACTAGGTATCTGCAGTAGTGTCAGCACAAGGGTGGGGAGGAAGTTTTTGCAGACACTTCTTTCTCTCCTTAAATATCGTGGACTTAGTCACCCATCACTTAGTCACTGTATGAATTGCTGGTTTGTGTTAATGCATGTGCCCATTGTTCTACATGGTAGAACATGCTCTGCAAGCATGGCTCTGAAACCAGAACAACCTGCTTTTTCGTGGTCCCCTGTGCAGTGGTGGGAAAGGTCTGATATGCCATGGGGTAGAAAATGTTGCTACTTTGAGTGCTTCTACTTATCTCATTGAAGTTAACAAACCTGATCTTATTTCTAAATTCTAGCATTTTGGACATTGTTTCCTCCTACAAAAAAGGACAAATGGTCTGGCAAGAAGTCTTTGATCACAAAGCACAAGTAAGATGGGAAAATTAGTAAGGTACTCTTGCATAACACCACAATGAGGCTTCCAGAGCAGACTATTAAGTAGATCTGGATTTGTGTCTTATGAGTTAAAGCAGAGTCTGCTGACATTAGCAAGTCTCTCCAGCTGTGGGTAATTTCAATCCCTTGAAATCATCATTTGTTGAATATGTAATAGGTGAAACAGGAACACCAGCGTTGAAGTGCTCTTTAAAGGTGAACACAGTTAATAAAATAGGTTTAAAACATCTGAGTAAAGGGTGGAGAAGTTTCTACGAGTTTTTTTTGTTGTTGTTGGTTTTTTTTGGTTTTTTGGGTTTTTTTTTTTTGTCTCATGTAATTATGTGTCTGGTCTAGTAACACCAAATACTCAGCATTTAACAGCTGGTCAGATACGTGGTGCTTGTCGGAATCCTCTTAGAGCATTAACTGTCTATAGCATAACCTAGGCTTCACTCTAGCTGAGTGTTTAAAACCAGCAAAAAGCTAATCAGCTTTAGACCGGGAGGGAGGGGGGAGGGATGACAAGAAGTAGTTTCCAAAATGTTCCTCTTTGAAACAGAATAGAGAATTTTGAAAGTCATGGTCCTTTTCCTTGATAACAGCAATTAGGATTGCCATTAGTAGTTTTGGTTAAGTTGGTTAGTTTGTCTTTTCCTCTTTTAGCTGAAACCGGACACCGTAGTTCAAGTGTGGATGGCAAATAACTACGCTCGTGAACTGAGTAGGGTCACAAGAGCTGGGTTCACTGCTGTTCTGTCAGCACCGTGGTACTTAGACTACATTAGTTATGGGCAAGACTGGAAGAAATACTACAGTGTTGAACCACTTAACTTCCCTGGTTTGTCATTTTTTTATACGTGTGTTCTGTGCATGAAACTCCTTGGTTTATATACAGTGTGAACGCGAAGAATAGGGCTGTTTAGAGTGGCCATTCCATCACTGTGATTATAGTACCATCAAAGGAATTATGGTCAGCTAGAACTCTGAAAAACTCTTAAAAAAAAGGAACTTTGCACTTTGCACAGGGAAAAGTATTACCTTCCTCAAGCATCTGATACTAGTGTTTTGCGTAAGACGGAATGCTGGACTAGGTGGGCAGATGCTTTAGGAGCAGAGTTGTGCAAAATGGCTGTTCATAGATTGACACTGAATTTGTTATTTACTTGATTGTTAAACTAGTCTAGAAAAAGACGTTCTCTTCCCTTCAACTTTGTATCTAAAGTTGATACAAATGTCTTATGCTTTCCATGGGGCTTTCATTTTGTGCGAGGGAGCTCTCAGACTTTTAGAGCGCAATACCTGACTAAATAATTTTTTCAAAGAATGTTCTCCATGTGATAGAATGAACAGTTTCCATCAGGTTTTAAATCTCTGAGGAATGTTAAAAAGCTAAGGAATCTCTTCAGAGCATAAAAGGTAAAATCCTTTCTGACAGAGCAGAGAAATAGCTTCTCTGGGCAAATGGCTTGGTGGTTCTCCCATTCAGTAACAAGACTGCCAAAATGTAAGTGAATGCTCAGAATAGCTCAGGTATTTTATATGAAAACAACTGAACATCAGTCCTATCTAATTGTTGATATATGCCCATCTTCTGGACAGAGAAGAATGTTCACTTTCTGGTTTGAATTCAGGATCTGAAGAACAGAAGAAACTTTTAATAGGTGGAGAAGCTTGCCTGTGGGGAGAATTTGTGGATGCAACTAACCTGACACCAAGATTATGGTATGGACTGCTTTATCATTAGATTTTAAGAAACCAGCTATAAGAAGCATTAATTAATCCCACAGGACTGTATGCTATTGCTAACAGTGCTTTGGGCTGGACCTAAGCAGCTATGAAAAATAATGCTTCTGGATATTGAGGTATTATATTAGACCTGGTATTAAAAAAAATTATCCATTCTTGGTTATAGATCATACCTACTCTGAAACTTAGTATACCTTTGCAGGCCTCGAGCAAGTGCTGTTGGGGAAAGACTCTGGAGCAGCAGCAATGTGACCAACTTGCAGGATGCCTACAATAGGCTAACTAATCACCGATGCCGCATGCTCCGGTAAGATTTAGTAGGTACTGTGTGTCTTGGTTCTCAGGTTTTATAACAAATAGAATAAAAGTACAGGCATAAACTGCTGGCCTGGAGATGAAGGGAAGAGAGCTAGCAGTTTAACCTGACTGTAAAGGCAATCCCATTTGATTTTGTATCGACAGAAGAGGAAGACAGACACATTAAGACAGGAGCTCTGGACAGTTTTGCAACTAAAATTTTCAGAACTCACTTTTTTCAGTGAAATACTAAGACTCTTCTGTGTTTCTCTTTCCTGTAAAGGAAAAATGAACACCATTTTTAACTTCTTTCAGACAAAAATTATATTAAAGGGTGTATGTGAGAGGAGTACACTGACAGAAGGAAGAGCAGACTTCTGAAAAAAAAAAAAAGGTGGTGTTACTTATTTGTTATAAATAATAATTAAAGACCTGCAGCAGGTAATCAATTGGAGCTGTTTGCATGAGAGTTGAGCTTGGGCAAGCTATCCTTTCAGGTATTGCCTTACTTTAGGGGCTGAAAGGGGTAGATAAGCAGTCCATGACAAATTTTAATTCATGTATGTACTGATTTGTTTACAGTAGTCATAACACATTCTTCTCCCAGTTCTTTTCCTAGAAAGTACCTAAGCAAGTTACTGGTTGTTTATTGCTAATGTTGTTTTTGTACATTCACAGCAGCAGATATGAGTGATTTCTAGGTTTTAAGTCCAAGTTTGACTCCACTTTTGAGGTATACAGTCAGAGAGCTGAATAGTTGAACTGCAACAAGCATGAAACATACCATTTTATTTCTCTACAGAAATTTATGACAACTCACAGAAAATGTCCACTCTGTGTGGTAGTAGTTCAAGTTAGATACAAATAATTTCTTTAAAGAACAGGATACAACAGCAGTTATAGTCAGCACTTGAAACTCAGGCTGTCTACTCATGTTCATGAAGATGTCTTAGCACAATTATCTGTTGGAATCACAGAGTCACTAGGTTGGAAGAGACCTTAAAGATCATCGAGTTCAACCCAGCCCTAACATTTCAACTAAACCATGGCACTGAGTGCCACATCCAGTCTTTTCTTAAACACATCCAGGGACGGTGACTCCACCACGTCCCCGGGCAGGCCGTTCCAGAACTTTATCACTCTTTCCGTAAAAAACTTTTCCCTAATGTCCAACCTATATTTCCCTTGGCGCAGCTTGAGACTGTGACCTCTGGTTCTGTCAGTTGTTCCCTGGAGAAAGAGACCAACCACCCCCCCCCCCGACTACAGCCACCTTCCAGGGAGTTACAGAGAGTGGTAAGGGCACCCCTGAGTCTCTTTTTCTCCAGGCTAAACACCCCCAGCTCCCTCAGCCGTTCCTCACAGGGTTTGTGTTCCCAGCCCCTCTCCAGCCTCGTTGCCTCCTCTGGATGTGCTCAAGCGTCTCAAGGTCCTTCCCAAACTGAGGGCCCAAAACTGGACACAGCACTTTAATTTAGAGTATATAGTATATGTTTAGCTTGCTGTCACTCTTTAATCAAGAGTGATTGAAGGACTTGGAAGTTTTGACTTGACTGGGTTATTTCAAACTGGCTTAAAATAATCATGTGAGGAAAATAGCTGTATGTAAGTTGTGCTATCTCCCTCAGTCATGAGAAAAATAGATACAATAAGAGAGAGTTGACAAATACATGTTAAAAACCATATTAAGGGGATTTCAAAACTTATGTCCTGTTACTTAGCAGGGTGGTGCGTCTCTTGATGGGGCCTAGGAAAACACTGCTACTGAGCAGTTAAGTGTACAGTGGCTGTACCACTAGGATTAGGGTTTTACAATGAACTAAGCTATGCTGTTCCTGGACCTGGTTGACTCCACTGCTGCATCTGCATCGTCTTCCTTAACACTGGTACTTGTATTGCTGTAAAGGGAGCTGGTCCAGATAACAGCAGCTGCTCTCCTAATGCTGGCATGAGACATGCAGAATGCAGGGGCAGACTAAGGACTACTCCCTGTACTTGTTGCACATATTTAGCAACAGAAAGTAGTCCAAGGAAAAACTATTTTGCTGACTTAGGATGAACAATTCCTGTTAGAAAGTAACTACCTTAATAAAAAGATATGTTGTCCTGATTGCCCTGATATGTTGTGCCTCTGATTGAAACAGAGGTTCAGTGAAAAGTAGAATAGGGCCCTTTTTCACTCCCTAAATAGCTCATCTGTTGTTTTCTAAGAGTAGTTTTGTTTATATAGTTATTAAAATAGATTGCCAGTATCTCTCTTCCTGCCTACACAAACAGCCAGTTGTTTGATTATAGTCATTCCCATTCTGCTTTATTTTAACAGCCGTGGCATAGCGGCCGAACCGGTGTTTGTTGGATACTGTGCCCACGAAGCAAGAGGGCCATAACTGCTGCAAAGACTTCTTGTCAACAGCCTGAAGTGCCTCTGGGGATATGTATGTGTGGTTTCATATCTGAATCAAGACTTAAAATTTTCACTTTTAAAATAAAATTATTTTACAGCCTTGTTGGAGTAAAAATTATCATTTTTAACCTTTCAAAAGTAGGGATTCTTCACTGTGAAATCATCAAACTTGATACCATAGAGTTACTAATTCTGTAAACTCTAAGGCTGAAGAAAATAAAGCTAAGACATTATTTAAATTTGGAGCAAACTATCTTTTTTATTTCAAAGTATCACTTGCCCCTTTTCTAGGTAATCAGACAATTGCAACCTATAGCAAATCAGAATCATTACAGCTTAATTTACTAATTCAAAAAGGTAAACAAACAAACAAATCTGTTCTTAACATACTGCAGGATGGTAGGTAGGAATTAGTTCTGGAAGAACTGCCTTTCTTATATTTTTTTTTCCACAGATCTTGATTTGCAGAAGTATCCATTTCTTACCTGATAAACTTAGGTAAAAATTACACCCAGTCCTGAACTCTGGTTCATAAGTGGTTTCTATCAGTAGAAGTAATACCTGTAAGTTGTACAATGTGAAGTGCTTATTAACCATATCCTTTGTACAGCTGAAACCAAATCAAAATACAGAGTGCCAAAACTGTAAAGTTATTTCAGGGATAAACAAAACTTCCACAAATTTTATTTAGTAGATCAGGAACACAGTCCCAGTGGCACATTAAGGTGGACTTAGTGCTCATTTCTGTGAAGATGATGTGCATCACTTCTCATTACAAATGTCTACAAGACAAGAATTTGCAGAGCAGCAATTTGTGGTTGCATCACTGCTTTGCAGTCATGAGGTTCTGCCAGCAGAGCAGTCTCTTGAACCTCCCTCCCTGGACAGTTAAAAGCAGTCTCAGACAGTTCATACAGCTGCTAACTCATTATTTGCCATCACCAGTAGGTCCCAGACGAACACACTGACGTACATACAAAAATATTTAACAGGAGGACAGAAAACACTGTTCCTAGAGAGTAAAGATCACACCAACCCCATCCTCCTCTGAAGAAGTGCACTTTGCTCTTGACTGCTCAGGGCTTGATAACTGGCAAGCTCCAATGTGAAGGTTGCTGAGCCCGATGTTAGAGAACGCAAAACTGTTGAGTAGCCCTGGACAAAATGGAGAATACACATCACTTAGGTTAGGATAAGGGGAAGATAAGTTAGCACAGGAAGCTGCTTAGACCACAGAGAGAGAAAAAAAAGCGTCAAATAATAAAATACTGCAGTGTAGTAGTAAGTTAACTTTCCAATATTACTGTATTAGAATCGCAACACATGCATGAGTCAATAATAATCTTTTTTAAAAACTGTTCTCCATAATACCTGTTTTTGTAGTATTTATTAGTTCTCTAGCTTAAAGCTGGTTTAGCAATCTGAATTTGGCATTAAAAAAAGCTACTCAATTTGAGGACACGTCCTTCTGACCTTCAACAATTAAAATACAATTTAAAAAATCCATTCTAAATTTACTTATCCATAACTAAAGAAAAGTGAACTGAAGCCAAATATCTTAAAGCTTATAAAAAAGATCAGTTTTATCATTGCTAAGGTAATCACATACCATCATTTCTGCTAGTGGAACAGCAGCGACCACAACTCTGTTGTCTTGACGAGACTGGATTTCCTGAATATTACCTCTCCGCTGTGCAAGATCAGCAAGTGCTGCACTGAGATGATCTTCACTTACTGTGATTTCTAGGTTCATCAGGGGCTCCAGTATTTGTATACCAGCTTTTTTCAAAGCCTACGTGGAAAGGAAGGAAGTTATGCTGATGTACTCCTATGGGCTTTTTTAAATAAAATTGACATAAGTACTTGTATCACTGAAGCTGACTCAAACTCTCTACTTGCAAAAGCCGTAAATTCCCCAGCAAGGGCATTAGGAGAGCATGCAAAGAGGAACAGTGACCAGACATTGATACACATGTATTCTCCCAGCAGTAGATCATGCTACTGTGTTCAGAGAAGCTTACAGTTTCACTGTACCTTTTGCAAGCAACGGGAGACACAGGCTGATACCATTGTGTGCGACGTGTCTGGGTGCACTGTCAGTGATTGCACTGTCACATCTATATCTTGAACTGGGAATCCAAGCAAAGGTCCTGGGTAGGGCCATGAAGAAGAGATAAATGGGAAAAAAAACCACCAAGCCCATTTGTTTTCAGAATATTAAGACGTGTGCAAAAATTTTTCAGAATTAACTGGAAGTTTCTCACTTTCCTCTTTGCTCTTTCCTTTCCTGTCCTCTCCCCAGGGGTGTGGCTACTGGTCATGTTCCTCATTTAGAGGTTTTGTCATTACTAACTTTACCAAAAGAGACAAAGGAATGCAGCCTCATACTTTTCTTAACTCTCTTTACCAAAAGCACAGATAATTTTCAGAACCTCCTGCTATATACTCATCCAGACAACCATTACCAAAAAGTTATTTTTAAATACAGTTTTTTTTCTAAAACAAGTCTCTTTAACAAGACATCATTTGAGAAAGCAAGAAAAACTTTTCTTTAACCAGAAGACAGAATCTTTTCTGTATTTTCCCCAATGCCTAATACTAACACACAACCAAAACTCCAGGGGTAATTCAATTTCATAAACGAGTGTCCTAAGGCAGATTACCTCCAACCCAGGACTCTCAACTAGACCAAACTGTCTTAGACTACATATGAGGCCTGAACCACATCTGAGAAAAGAAACATTACTTTTTTTTAACAGAGAACATGGCCAGGTATTTTTATTTTTTAAAGCACTTAATGGCATCAATTTTAGGCTGGAGACAGCACAGTTCTGAAGTTTCTTCAAGAAGCATAAAGAAAGCACATGGTTAAGACATTCTACAGCCAAAGATGGGAGATGCTTTCGAATTCCACAGAACAAATATGAAAAATCACTTCAGCTGGTACTTAAAATCTCCTTTGTTAATCCACAACCTACTGATAATACTGTAAGGCAGTTTTTTGTCCACAAGTTACATAAGACTTCCTATTTTTAATTAAAAGTCAGAGACACTTTTAATTTATTCAAGGGGACTTTAATCCTTAAGAAAACACAGACTTTCCAATTACGTCAAGTTTTTACTGAAAACTCATGGATTTAGCATATTTGAAAATTAAAAAAATGCATTAGTATTGTAACCGTAATAGAAATGTAATACATGCTGGCCTATGAAACCATTTCTGTTATATCACTATGGTTTACATGATGTCATGAAGTAAATGTCTTATCTCTTATACCACATTAAAAAATAAACCAAAAGAACTCCAAGCTCACTGTTAAGTGACTGAGAAGACAACAACCTTAAAAGCAAACCAAAGGCATGCTGATTTCCATTCCAGGCAAAGAGAAAAAGACGTTTGGCAAATTTTGTAGTAGAATTTTTTGTAGTTTTTGTAATTTTCCTTTGTACCTTATACATTAGTCGTATATATATGCACTATCTTTTTTTCAAGCAGTTTTTCCTTCCAGAAAATGGATTCTTACAAAAATATTAGACCAGTATAGCTATCATAACATTTCCTTTACCTTGAATGCATGAATTTGTGATTCCGTTTTCTATAGCTCCTTGGAGTTCCTTGGGCAGTACTTCACTGACATTCTCAGCATAGCTGATGATGGGTTTTGTTGCTGCCCCTTCTCCTGACGTGGGCCTCACCTCTATCTCTGCAGTTACACAGTGTCGTTTATCACCTACTGTTTTGTCCAATATATCTGCAGGGGGAGGAAAAAAATAATACATAAAATTCATCTGAAAGCTACTCATATATCATTTAAAGTAAATCAAGCTACACAACCAGAAACAAGATGTGCCTTGCATTCACTCATTTTACCTGTAGCTTGGGCAGCATTTAAGATGGTTTCTCGGTATGCTATTTGAAGAGGTCCCAAGTAAGTCTCAATTCCATATTCACGTTTGATTCGGTCATGAATAATTTCTATGTGCAGCTCTCCCATGCCACAGAGGATAGTCTGGTGAGACGATAATTAAGAGAGAAGTGGAAAAACATGCAAAACTCAGGTTTTAATACAAATTCTTTAAGCAATGACCTGCATGCTTCAAACTGTCTTTAAAAATGCTTCTAATTCAAATGGCCATAATACTTCAAATTCTAAGGACCCTAGACATTGCTCTAAGTCATGTAACATAAACACCATTTAAGTGAGAGTGTTGTTACCAGTACTGTGCTCATCATAAAAAAGTTAATCTTACCGAATCTTAAAGACTATGTAATTCAAACCTTTTTAAATACAGAATTGTCAAAAACATGCAGAACATGGGCTGACTTCCTCTGTTGAGTAAAGCACAAGTGCCAAAGACTATTTTAGTTTCATACACATATCATAGGAACATTCAGAGAGTCCTTTTTAATCAAGAACACCTCAATATGCATATGAACTAACTAAAGCGTGGTCTTAATGTTCTAAAATAATTTTATAAGATGAGCAATAGAAGATTCATCTTACTTGTCCTGTGTCAGGATCTGGCTTCACTTTTAAACTTGGATCTTCACGCTGAAGGCAGCTCAATGCATTATCCAAGTCTGTACAGAAATATCAAACATTTTATTTGAAGCAAATTCAGTAATCTGAAGATCAGAGTAAGTGTCTAAATATCACTTTCCTCAAAACAAACAAAAGAATCCTAGAGGAGCATAGATTTTGACAAAAAATTCAGGTCAAATTACAAGTAACCAGCAACTTCTGATTTTATCCCACAAATTAACTGTGCTACAAAGTGCTTGAATTTAATTATTATACATGCTATTTTCAGAGTGGTATTTTGTGTTTCTATGAAGACAGACTGGAACCTACAAATTATTAATGAAACCAGTAAATAACTGATAAATGCCAACTGTTACATGATATACCTAAGAACTTCAAGATAACATGAAATGGTCCAAATGAAAATGTAAATCATTTTTATACATGGTTTTGGGGTTTTTTTCTGATTCCCCATTATCTTAACTGCTGAGGAAAGCAGCAGAATGATGACTCAAGAGCCAAGACTGCATCCGTCATACCTTACAGTCTTTGGGGGGAAAAGCCACAAAAGTAAACAAACAAAAGCAAAGTAAAACATCCAAACACCACAAAATCAGTAACACCTTATAACCCAGTGGTTCAGCCT